ATTTATTTATTTTGAGAGAGAAAGCATGCACAAGCTGGGGAGGGACAGAGGAAAGGAGAGACAGAATCCCAAGCAGGCTCCCTCCATGCCTTTAGCACAGAGCAGATGCAGGGCTTGGACTCACAAACTATGAGATCATGACCTGAGCTGAGATCAAGAGTCAGCACTTAACTTAGCCATCCAGGCACCCCGTCAGTGGAACCTCTGTAAGGGCTGAGGAATTTTCCTTTTCTGACCCTCAAATTCATCATTTTATTTATTTATTTATTTATTTATTTATTTATTTATTTATTTATTTTAAATTCATCATTTTAAAAATCAGGATTATAATAACTACCTTACAGAAGCATTATGAGGAACAAATAAGGTACTATATAACACTACATACAGTGGATAGTCAAAAATGTTACCTTTCTTACATTGCTTTCCTTTTTCCCCTTAAGAGATATAGGATAAACCAAGTTTATCATTGTCCATAAGCCAGGCATATCACTAGAAATCATAGCTAGTATTTAAGTCTCATATCTTTAAGAAGTCAAAATTAATGTTTTTCACCCCCCCATATTTCCTTTAATTACTTTACATTTATAAGTAAAATTTCTTACAAAAATTGGAAAACTACGCATTGTTAATTTTTTCATAATGCCTATGAATAATGCCCAAATATTTTTAAATACATCTGCATAGTACCTGGAATTTTAAAATTATCCATAACGTAACATTGCCAAAATTATGAAATTTTCTCAGAAGATGCCATGATGTCTGAAATTGCCTTGCCCTTTTTTAACTGAAAATAAAGTGATTGCTTGTCTCATTGCAAGCTGTATGCACACAACAGTGTTAGTAAGTAATTTATTTTATACATCTGAGATGTATAACTTGCCTATATCCAAGGTGGTTTTGAGAATCATAAAATTAATTGTAATACGATATGGCACAACTCAGTAACGGAATCTAGTGAAAACCAGTAGAAGAATGTATATAACAAGACGCCTGAGCCTATGTAATTACTACTGCAAAGCACAAAATGGAATTGAATGTCAAGGAAGCCAGCACACAAAGGGGGATGGCTTGGCATGTGTAGCTCTCATTTTCTGACCAGAAGAGTATAATTTAGATCGGAGAGACAAACTTTTTGGCACTGAATTCAAGGACAAATTTATTGTAAAGTTTTTAAAATTGGGGTCATGGAATAACAAAAGACAAAATCACTGTTCAAATAGACATTTCTCTAAAAGCTGAGGGCATAACATTTAATCATATTTCAGTAAAGTCATTTCTTCAGGGAGCTGAGATAAAAGGGTATATTGCTCTCTGGTGATCCAACAATCCTGGGAAAAAGATTAGAGCATATAGAGCAGAGGTTTTGAAACTCTGTTCTTGGAGTTCCAAGGCTCATTTGTCCATTTAATCATTCACCAAAGTTATATTGAATTTCTACTCTGTATAAGACACTGCTCTAGCTACTGAGAATTTAGCAGTGAACTATATGTATATGGCATATATTTTATAGTGTACATATATAATATATGCATTCTATATATGTAAACTGTGTATAACTGGTTATAAGAGTATATATTCCAGTAGTTGACAGATTATGATAAAAATATAGGATTTCAAGGGACACCTGGGTGGCTCAGTTGGTTGAACATCTGACTCTTGGTTTTGGCTCAGGTCGTGATCTCGCAGTTTGTGGGTTCAAGCCCTGCTTGAGATTCTCTGTCTTTCTCTGTCCCTCCCATAGGGTAATTTGAATCCATAAATTTTTCATGGATGCAAGTTACTTATACTACTGGGATTTGATGAACTAGTGTATTTTCTGAGAATCAGGGCTGTCTGGTTTCTTTCAGTAGAAACATTTACAAGATTTCAAGGCACACACACGGGGATGGGGAGTAGGATGTGTTCAAAGAAACTACAGCTAGATAGTGTAAGATTAACTGAATGTCAGTGTGATGAAACCAAAGACAGGTTTAGCAGAAATTTTTAAGAACCTTGCCTAGAAGGTCAAGTTGGTTGATGAGATTTATTGCCAAGCTTGTAGGAAATTTGCAAGTTTCCAGGAGAAACTTGGAAAGAGGTCAGATGCAGTTAGGAAATTAGGTTGGAGAGGATACCAAGCAAGGTGAGTATTATGACAAACTACTTGATCATCTCATTTTGAAGCATTCCAAGCCTGACCTTGATACTAATTTAGCCTCAGAGACATGTACAAAACAATTGGAAAAGATACTGCCTCCATCCACCTTCTTGTACACAAGAAACTTTCATGGAAAACTGGAATCTTACATCAATGGCAGGTATTTGGGACATCATTATCTACAATAGCTTATTGTAAGTGAATAAATTTTTGGTTCCCAAGTTTTAAAGTACCACGTTTGAAAAGTGAGAAACATCAATGAAATATGATCTGATCATCTATTCCCAAGATCCTGTACAGAATTATCCTAGCCTCAATCTTCTCCTTAGTATATATGAAGAGAGTAGGAAAATGGATACTACTGAATTAGGAGAGACTTTAAATCCTTATCCTGATGGCATATACATTTTCCAGTTTTTTTTTTATTTCCTGAAAGTGTAATATTCTTAAAACTCAAGTATCTTCTATTTGGTCACTTTCAAAATAAAGACACTATATGAAAATATTTCAGAGTATCAAATGATTTTATATTTGGCTATTTCTAGAACTTGCTTCTAATTATACGGCAAAAAAAGAGGAATTCATAATTGTACTTGGAAGCAGCATTGCAAATTCCAAGCATTATAATAACCTTAGAAAAATATGGCTTAAAAATAAATGTGAACAATCAATTATAATTATGAAGGAGAAGAAAAGGAAAACTAAAAATAAACTATTTAAAAACAATTTATATGTCTCAGTCAAGTTTTCACTTTCAAGTGCCTTCTATTAATCTTTATATACTTACTACTGGAAAAAGAGAGAAAGGATAACCCTGACTTTGTTGCCAACCCAAGGAAATGATTTCACTGATTTAGCCATATCCAGACTTTCTGTTTATAATGAATAATAAAGTCACTGATGTTTTTATATGGCACCATAGGTGATCAAACACCCTGTTGTTAAAATATAAGTAGAATTGAAGCTTTACATTATTCTTAGGAGATAAACACCTGTTTAACATAGACTAGAACATTTGAGCAAAATCACCCCAACATTTACTGAGATCCTAAGTCAGGTGAAAAGATAAAGTCTACAACAGCTAAATAAGCTGAATGCTTTAAATGATCTGGAAGCACAGAGAAGGGCTTTAGTTTTTCTGAAAGGCAAACTAAGAGGTTTCAAGCTCATTCTACCATGGCCTTTAATGGTGAGAAAAATATTTAAAGCAAAGGGAAAAATCATATGGGAAGACTCAGAGAAAAGGATAGCTGTAGTTTGAAGTGATGTGGAAGATGGATCTCATCAACTGAAATAAGAAAGAAGGAAGGAATTTTTGCATGTATATAGATACCTAGTTCAGGTTTGAACAGATTATCACTGTCAAATTTACCTATCCTTTTAATTAAAGACACTGGAATATTTTATAGGTGCTTGCATGTACTTATGAAGTTCCCCTAAAGAACTACTAAGATGAATTTGGCTAAACTAATTTTTTCATGTATGTGATTTTCCCAAACTATATAATGAATATATCTGTTACCTAGTTATTCTTCCTTTGGGTCTACTGTGTCATGCTGCATAATAACTAACGTGCTTAATATGTTTTTTTAGAAGATACTTAGTTTTAAAAGTGAGCATTCTTCTACCTCACATTAAAAGCTATTTTCTGAAAAAGCAATATTCCCTGAACATTCCATTTGTAATCTTCATTATAACAGTTTTGAGAAGAGATTTCCGTAGAAAACATTAAAGTTTAGACCCTGAAATAAGTCCGCTTACTCATAAAATTAAGTATGAGATCTCATTTCCATTTTACTTCTTTCAACTTAAAGCCACATATTTCAGCAGATTTTAATCCACAGTACAGGCACTGTTGATTTTAAATTCAAGGATGAAAATCTGATTTTAATCAAAATTTAACTTGTATTCTAGTTTACACGTTGTAAAACTACTCTTTAAATTATGTGATTGATTAAGTATGTACAGTAGATCTCCTTTTGTGAATAATTTTCTGGTAAAGGCAGAATGAATTTTCAGTAAACATTTTATCTACTGGGAAATGTATTTTAAATGGAAAATACGTTAAATTTTGGTAAACTTACCTATTACTAATTGAGCAAGGGACAAAATTTAGATAGAACTTGGAGAGACAGAAATTATGACGAAATTTGTATTATGACAGTGGAGCTTTTCCACAAACCTGTTTCTTTTGTGAAAAATACATGCAAATGAATTACAGTCAAGTATTTAAGGATCCATCTATGAATCCACGAGATTGTTACTGATTTTCATTATGTAATTCTTTGGCTTACAAACTATTAGAAGTCTGTAAGAGGGTTTATTTTTTTAATATCTGTGTCCATTAGAAATACGTCAGATATCCAGTGATAATAGTTCCAGGATGTGCTAGGTATCTATTCCAAACTCGGATATCATTTCAGTTAGCATTGCCCCCTTTTTTTTTTTTAAGTGTCTAAGTTTCGAATAGTCTCTGGATGTTCTCATATCTGAAGCAGTTTCCTACAAAGGCAATGTTGTGATCTTACCTTTTTTTGTATATTCGGAAGACAGAGAGTAGGAATAAGCTACTGACTATGGAGGGAAGAACCCAAGCCTGATTCTTTGGATTTCTGCCAACGATGCTAGAGAAAATGATAAATGACAATTACATTACCTAGGAATTCTCCCTCTAAGAGGCTGACAAAAATTCTAATTTTTAGAGTTGCTATCACGGCCAAGAATTCTGGATACTCCTGGTTTGGGGGCTCCCAATGGAAATACTGCCAATGCTAGAAAAACACTCTACTTCATTTTGCAGTGAGGCACATGTCTTCCTGATGCTGCCTCATAGTCACTTGTGGTTAAATAATTCATTTAGATAACTGTGAAAGATCATATTTGTATGTTCTTTGAGACACATCTTAAAGTTACCCTAAGTTCAATAAGAAAACAGATGTTGTATAAAAAATTGATTTGTAAGCTACCTTTTTTTTTCTTTTTGATGTACTATTATTTAAGGAATGCACATTGCATATATTTTTATTCACTTTAAAAAATTCCTGTGTTGTTTTGGCTTGGTAAAATTGAGGTCTCCATGCTAAAAATCTTACTGGATAAAAAGTAGCAGAATCTAAGACGACCATGATTTGCAAAGCAGAATTTAATGATATGATATTTAGTAGCAATGAGTTAGGGATGAGTACCTCTTTTTATACTTGGGTATGAAGAATCAATTCCCCAAGTGCAAAATCAAAGAGACAAAATCTGAAGTCATTCATTCAGGGTTTCCGGCTGACAGTAAAATGCAGTCTGATTCACTAGTACAATCCTGATAGCTAACCCTGTGATGTAATCTGGTGGTATTCATAGGTTTGGTATAAAATGAGCCATGTGACATCTTGCTTTGTGTTGAACTGTCCAGCTTTAGGCGCCACCCTTTGAAAGGAATAAAGACCATGCAGGTCACATTCATAAGAAAATAGCCAAGGCATTTTTTTGTTTTTATTCTCCTTTACATTTAACTAAATGAAAAGTCGTTAAATGCAACTTGACAAGGTTAGTCAGGCATCCAAATCTCTCAGGATGTTCACATCACGTACAATTGAACCCAGTTGGTAGTGAATTATAAGCAAGGGCATTTTACTTTTCTCTCTAGGTACTAAAACCTCTAAATTCTATTTGTTTCACAGGAGTCTGAACTTATAGAACTAAGAGAAACCATTGAAATGCTGAAGGCCCAGAACTCTGCTGCCCAGGCAGCTATTCAGGGAGCACTGAATGGTCCAGACCACCCTCCCAAAGGTATATTTAGAAGTATTGCCATTTTTCATTCAATGTAATGAATATCTATTTGATTCATTAGAGTGAAGCTGCTTTTACTCAGTGGCATTGTCCTTTATAAGGAATAAGTTGGTATTAAGGCAGTCAGAATCCCAGAATTTAAGAACAGTAGCTTTCCTCATCAAATAAATTTTTAATTAAGTTTAAGGAATTTGCTTCTATAGTAGGACACACCTTTCTCTCCATTTGGTTTGGTGAAAGTGGGGCTGGGGAGGTTGGCTAATACATTTATCTCTGACTTGAAGCAAAACAAACCCTGTAAAGACCATCAAAGTCTAGATCTGTAAAGAAAATAAATTAATTAATATGGTCAAATTCCAAGGAGAAGGTGTGTGGAACAGCTCCTTCTGGGTGGAGGCATTAAAAAGGGACACTTCTTATGAAAATGCTAAAAACAATAAGAAAAAGGACTAAAAGTTAGTCTACTTTTAATTATTACTATGCTTTGTCAGTTCTAAACAATAATAAGATAATCTCCTTTGCCATCACCCCCACCCCTTAGTTTCCCACTGTAGAAATGCTTTGTGTTAATGTCATGTCAGTTTTTTCTTTGCATAGGTTCTACTTATTCATGCCCTACCTCTTTTCAATGGCATTCAACATGCTCAACTCTTCACCAGCTAAACAAATGCTTTTATAAATCTTGAATGCCCTATCATGTATGTTTCCATTTCCAGGGGAATTCTGGGAACATTTTATGGAATCTTTTAATGTCTCCAGCAGCCAGTCACACTTTGGACTCCTCGAGTGTGGCATCTCTTACCATCAACCCAAAAGGGTTCTCTCCAGGATCAATAATGATTTACACGACACGAAATCTAGTACCACATTTAAAATTCTTACTGTATTTAACATGCAGACCGCATTGTATACTGATGTCCATTCCATCCTAATTGACACATTAATTTCTTGTAATATTTGTAATATTCACATTCTTAGTTTTTTCTCCTGCTGCTTTGAAATCTCTTTGAAAGTTTCTTTTGCAGGTTTACTCATTTGTATCGTTTTGTTAAATGCTGATATTTCTTAGAACCCAGTCCTAAACTCTCTTCCATTATGATTTTGTGCATTGTGATTCCCTTCTCCTATCTAAAAATCTATAAACTCATCTAATACTCTAGCTATAATTATCATTTATGCATTGATAACTGTCAAAAATATTTCTTCAGGCCAGGCTCATCTCTTGAGTTGCAGATCTATAAATCGAGCTGCATAAGAGAGAGCTCCACTTGGTTATCTTTGGATGTCTCTTTGTCATGTTAAATTCAACATCTCCAAATTTGAACTTGTCATCTTCCCTCTCAGACCTGCTTTGCCTTCAGTGTTCCTTGCCTCAGTAAGTGGCACCACCATTCTTCCATTTAGCCCGCCATAAACCTAGATGTTCATTCATATATCCTCCTCTCCTCATTCATTAAGTCACCAAGTTCTATTGATTCCACCCCTTAAATATCTCTTGGATGTGTTCCCTTTTCTCAGATCCTACTATTACCATCCCTTATCTCTCCCCTGAACTGTGACCACAAACTCCTAAATCCTTCCTGCCCTTCATCTTAAAACCACTTTGTATCATTCTTCACACTGAAACCAGAGCATTAGTCAACAACAAATATCTATAGGTATCCCTTGCCTTTAGGATGAAATACAAACTTCTTAACATGACATAATTTCTCTTCGTCATCTTTGTTCACTCAACAAATATATAATGATTATCAGTTATTTGCTAGACACTGGTCTAGACCTTATGCTTTGCTTTTTTGTCACATTGTATATTTCAGCTACCCTGACTTCTTCTAATTCTCTAAAAGTTTTTTGTATGTTCTGTTTATTTCTACTTAAAATTTTCTGCCTTGTGTGCTCAGCATAAAAACGTTTTGAGACCTAAGAGAGTTAGCCTAAATATGCCTCCTTGACCCTTAAAATTAATGAGGTCCCCTTGTGGTATGTTTCTGGAGATAACTGTAGTTCCTCTATCAAAATTTGCATTGTACTTTGGTGCCCTAATTTATGTAAGGTCTGCCTTTTCTAATCAATGGTAGGGTGGTATGTTTTCTCAATCCAAGTGACTGTGGGGGTGCTGTACACATAAAAGGGGTTTATTTGAATTTTAATTTAAGAAAATACAATTTTTGGTGTGCCTGGGTGGCTTAGTCCATTAAGCATCCAACTTTGGCTCAGGTCATGATCTCACAGTTCATGGGCTCGAGCCCTGCGTCAGGCTCTGTGCTGACAGCTGAGAGCCTGGAGCCTGCTTTGGATTCTGTGTCTCCCTCTCTCTCTCTGCCCCTCCTTTGCTCATACTCTGTTTCTCTTTCTTTCTCAAAAATAAATAAATACTAAAAAATTTTTTTTAATAATAAAATTAAAAAATGCAATTTTTTAAATACTAGAATTCAAATTTTAGAAAAAAATTATAAAGTGAGAGATACTTAAACTGAAGGACAAACTAGTCCTCTAGGGGCTACTTCTGTTAGGAATTTAGCAACTTTCCATGCGGGGGAGTTGATTTATATGCTACATGGAAAATTACTGCATATTTAAAGCTTATCTTAGAGCTATAATAAAGCAGCTTATGTTCTGAATCTTCATGTTGTAAATAGGTCCAGAGAAGGGATTGAAAAAGACTTAATCCTTTCTTTAACACAGTACAAGTCACTGAAGTAAAACTTTCTGGAAGGATTCCTTTTATCTTAGGCAACAAGTACCCTAATGTATCTACTGGAATTGAAAAAAGGAATTCCTCTGCTCACTAATGTGGGAGGGGTACATAAAATAAGTAAAATGATAACAGTTAATATTCAAATTGGTCAAGAAAGATTAAAAAATATTTTTATAAGATTTAAAACTGACAAAAACAATTATAAGTGTATATAGGATATTTATGTTTCAATAATATATATTCAGTGAACACAAACTGATTCTTACTATCTGACCATTGGCATCACATACAGAAAATAAAGTCTGTTGGACTGTTTATGTATCTTTCCATGGGTCATTATGGTGATTGTATAAGCTATAAGCTATAAACTTATAGTCCGAAATCATATTGAGATTTGGTTTTCGAGAGCTTTACACATTTATGTCAGGTAAATTTGTAACATGTAGTCTTACAATATATATTTGGAGTGAGGCAACAGTTTTATAGACAGGTCAAACTGAGACAAAATCACGTAATTAATGTAACTTTCTATTTTCTATGTGTTCATCCCATTTATTAACAGAGCCTGATAAATAATAGCAGTCTATAATAGAATAAATTTATTTATTCATGCACAAATGTTATCTGAATAGCTGATATATACTAGTCGCTCTGTTAGATCTTGAAATACAAAGATAAAAAAACAAAGCCCCCTACTCTCAAGGACTCACAGTCCACTGCCACAAAAGGTTATAAATATATCTCTGGGTAAATTTAATGATACAGAGATACATATATATAACCATATATGAAAGGTAAAATAATAGAAAATTTTACTTTTATTTTTCAAAATACACTTTTTTTTAAGTCACTACCTCTGTATATAAACATAGAATAGTTTTTCCTTGAGATGTACCAATTTAACAAAACATGTAGTAAATTGCTATCAACAGTGAATACATTTTTAGGAATGTTAGGCAAACAGTTGTGCTGAATGAATAAGAATAATATTGCCCATAAGCACTTATTGATTGCCTACCATAAGCCATAGTGTGCACAAGGTCCTGGATCTACAACGGTAAACAAAACAGATATAATCTTTGTCTCCATTAAACATTTACACTTGGGGTGCCTGGATGGCTCCATCAGATGGGCGTCTGACTTCGGCTCAGGTCATGATCTCACGGTTTATGAGTTTGAGCCCCACATCCGGCTCTCTGCTATCAGAGCAGAGTCTGCTTTGGATCCTGTTTCCCTCTCTCTCTGCCCCTACCCCACTCTCTCACGCACTCTCTCTCTCAAAAATAAACATTAAAAAAAATAACCCTTAAATCTTGTGGGAGAGCAGAAAATTAGCAATTGTTGTGATCATAGGTATAGCTGAATATGCATGGCAAAACAGTTATAAGTTAAAAAATGGACAAGAATTAGTGCCATAGAAAGCAAAGGTAGCAGGGAACCTACTGGAGGTGCATAGTCAGGAAAGGCCTTTCCTAGATAGCAACATTTAAGGGGAGATCCAAGGAACAATTATCAATGTATATGGCAAATATTGAAAGAGGAGTATTCCAGAAGAGTCTTGAGATAGAAAGCAGACTATTGCCTTTATGGAGCTGATACAATGAGCAGAGGTAAAATAAGAAGAACCAGGTTAGAGAGACAATTACTGACCGGATTACTGAGGGACTTTTAGGCCATTTTTAAGAGTTGAAATATTTTCTTTCTTCTTAAAATGGTAATCTACTAAAAAGTCTGAAGTAAGGGAGTGATGATGACATTTTCCTTTTAAAGATTTCTCTAGCTACTGTTTACAGAATGGTTTGAACTTGGACAGCTCTTCTTGACGTAAAGCAGAGAAGCGTTAGTAATAGCTTCAGCTGGGGCATCGGTGGTAAGAAGGGTGGGAAGTGGGAATGAATGGATGAACAAACACGTAACTGAAATACAGACTTTTAAAATAAGCTTCTCCGTTCGTTCATAAGGTTCACATCCATTTGGTCAACCGTTCTTTTCCAAGCTCTATAGTGTCACATGTACTGAATCAAATACTTACAAACACTAGCAAGAAATTGTTAGAGATGAATAAAATAAATTCCTTTCATTCCATGATATTACTGAAATTTGCTTTTCAGTATAATGAATTCGGTTCATAATAATTCAACAAGTATGTTTTATGCCCAGATTCTCTCTTTATTCTTTATTGGTGAATGCATTCATAACTGAAGATAAATAATACCTACAAGGACTACTTTTGACCTATGATTATAAGAATTTACCTCTCTTCTCAAATTTTGAAGGTTAATCAAAGCCAAATACAATTTATTAATACTGGATATAATAAAAACTCTTGAGTACCTTAACATCCAGTACCATTGCTTTAGTTGTGAAAGTCAATTACTAGGAAAAAAACCTAAAAAATAATGTATCTTGATCACAAAAGCTTATAGCCAAGCACAGCAGAAATGTAAGATACAAATAAGTACCAACATATTCTTCTTTTCTTTATTCATACAACTTCTAGTATTAGTTGATTAAAAGATACTATAAATGCCTTAAGTTGCGACATTGGTAATGTTTGGGGCATGTAAACACATCATTATTTTTTAAAGCACTTTTAAGAGGCCACAATCTACAGAGTCTGAAAAATAGTTTTATTTTTGGCTCCTATAAAATTTGTTAGCGTATTGAATATCTTAAGGGAAAAAGTTGAGGTATATGTTGATATATATGTATATGACTAAGGATGGAGATATGTATACATATATTACATACCCACACACATGTTCACTGATTATATGTTTTAAAAGGAACCAGTTATAGTTCCATTGTCATGGGGCATTGTACTGTTAAATACATCTGTCAACTGGAAAGCTTTGATTTTAAACTATTGTTTCTATGGAAACTTTTTGAAAGCTATATAGTGATTTCTGACATAAGTTCTACTGAAATTTTTTGCTCGGCTAATCTGCGTTGATGCCAATTAAATATAATAATAGATTTGACCTTAAAGTAGACTGGGCCTTAAAAGTAATTTTATGAATTGGAAGTGTCTCCGCTAACACTTAATATTAGTTCACTGTAAGCAGTAAGTAAAATTACTTATTTAACTCTCAGTAAAATTTCAATTTCAACAACTGTAAATTAATCTTATAGGCTGATTTTATGGAGTAAGTGGATATCTTCAAAATGTGAATAAATGCCAAAAGTTTTTTTTTTTTTTTTTCAAATCGTCTTGTGTGACTAGAGAAGCACTACATGCTTTGTAGAAGCACGGCAAGCCCGTATCACATGGCAGTTAGCACGACAGACATTACAATCTGTCCAGGTCTCGGCTTGGCTCTACTGTGTTTCAGCTCTGTAACTCTGGTCAAATGATTTTTAGTAATTAAACTCATTTCAACACTTGCTTTAAGAATGAAATTAAATAATCCCAGGTCAGAGTCAACACAGAGTAAAAGCTAGGTTTGTTATTACCTGTGGTTATTGTTACTGTCACCATTACTATTCCACGTCATGGGCAGGGATTATGATGCGTTGTCTTAAATATGTGCTCCGTTTAGTGTATACATGTCATCTACCCAGATTCTCTCTTGAGCGTCTTCCCCCCACTGACTCTTTGACCTCGGTCAGGTTACTTCTTTGCACTTCAATTTCCTCATCTGTGAATTGAAGTGCTTAAATGACTTCCAAGGTTTGTTTTGGCTCTATCATGGTATGATTCTATGAAATGGAAAATTAATATACTTGGCTTCGGTAGCTGTATCCAAAGCACTAATATTAAAAAGACACAATTAATTCTCATGCAGTTATGAGTTTCCATTTACTCCATGGGAGTAATCATTTGGAATAAATCACTTGGAAGATCTGTTTGATCCAGGTATTCAGTGGAAATCAGTAGCATAGCATTTCATTTTTGGGTAAAAACTTGGAACTCATTAAACCACCAATGCTACAGACTTATATGAGATGTTCAATGAATCTTAATGAAGATAACGCATTTAATTAAAGCAAAGAAGGTTGTATTTTATTACACTTAAAAACCAAAGCTGCCCTGAAACGATTTGCACAAAGCCATGTTGACTTTTATTAGCAGACTTCCTCTCAGGAAGCCTAATGGTCTCATTTGTTCCCAGTGAAAGTGTATGAGCTAATGTGATATTGTCTATCTGTTGCTAGATCTCCGTATCAGAAGACAACATTCCTCTGAAAGTGTTTCTAGTATCAACAGTGCCACAAGCCATTCCAGCATTGGTAGTGGTAATGATGCTGACTCCAAGAAAAAGAAAAAGAAAAACTGGGTAAGTAAGCCATGGTCATTTCATCTCATTCAGAAGCATATTATTGCACAATGAGTCAGGTTTTTGTTTTTGTTTTTGTTTTTGTTTTTGTTTTTTCCTTATGAGATTTAGAAATCTGTAGCGGTTTACAAAGACTGTCATTCAGGTAACTGGCCTCTTGAATGCTGGACTCGTCACCAAAATTAGGGTGGCATGGTGCTGAAGTCAGGACCAGGCTTGGGTTTGAATCCCCACTCTGCCACTTACTACTGGGACCATAGGCAGGCTCCTTCACCCTTTGAGGGGGCCTACATTTTTCCCATCTGTAACAATAGGTTCATCAACACTGACTTTATAGAGTTGTTGTAAGGAAAAAGAAGATAACGTCTGTTAGTAAATGACAGGGCAGGGATTTATCGTGGAGGCGAGAAAGAAAGAGAGATGGTGGGAGTGGTGGCGGTGGTGGTGGTGGTGGTGGTGATGGTACTGATGGTGGGGCTGGGGGAAGAGGAGAAGAAATAGATTGTAAAAGTAGGGACAGAAGAAACCTTGACGGTCTTCGCACCTCTCACTTCCACGGGGCTTATAGTGTAAATAAAGCTTCGCCTCACGAGAAATGAACTACATGAGTGTCTGCTTTCTATCTTTTTTTTACCAAGAGAATATAGCAGAAACAGAACTGCTTCAACAGAGCACTGCCTTACATTTGCTAGAGATTTAATTTATGATAGCACAAAGCATTTGCTAAAAAAAACGGAGAAGATGCTATCACAGCAAAATGTTTAAAAACCACGAAGTAAAGGGTTTCTTTGAATGCCATGAAACAAAGGTCGATTTTTGAAAGAAGTACAACTCTTGATGAAATCCAAAACGTTAAACCATCAGAGGATTTTACTGGAGTGCCTACTATAAATAATGAAAGAAATATATATATTTTTTTGTTTAAAAAAAATGTTTATACAGGTAATATTTTAAAATACTGATCAGCCTTCCTTCCCTTGATTTGTAATTCCACACTCTTTCATGTTTCTGCAAGGTGAACTCTAGAGGAAGTGAGGTGAATATAAACCGTGGACAATTTGGCATGCATCTATAAAAAATACCCTACCTTGGCATGAATGCTATTCATTTTGGCAGTAGGCTTTTTATACCTTTTAAAAACAGATTACCTTGTATGTCTTTTCTTTGTGTCTTTTCATTTTAATCTCAAATTTTCAAGAGGAGGTAAAACCACTTTCTGAATAGCGCTGTAGGGGATACCAATTCTGGTTTTGAATAGTACGGGAATTGAAAAATTTGAATAGAAAATCACAATTAATGAAGTGTTAGGTGAATTTGATTTCATTTTGCTTTTTAAGTTTATACTGTCAGCAGGACATGACTTGATTGTAGCGCTAAAGTGGCCATTTAAAACAAATTGCCTTGAAGAGAGAAGCATTGGGAGTGGAGATCCCTTCAAGGTACTTAGTTTTAAATGAGTGATCTGACAGCCATGCCCTTGACCTTGCACTATTTGAAAAGCCTTCCGTGTTTGCGCTGCGCTGGATTAATATAAGAATAAGACAAACCACAAAACATGGTATCATTTTTTTCTAGAGATACCGTGCTGCAACTCTTAATCCTCTGCTTGTACATACTGACCCCAGGCAGTGGCTAGGATAGCATCTGCAAACTAACGCCCCAAAGCAAAATTTGCCAAGTGCAAATAGACAAGAAAGGTAATTTCTGTCCTCTTTGCAGCTGCGAAGCTCATTCAAACAAGCCTTTGGGAAGAAAAAGTCCACCAAGCCTCCTTCCTCACATTCGGACATTGAAGAGCTTACAGACTCATCCCTTCCAGCATCCCCTAAATTGCCCCATAATGCAGGTGACTGTGGGTCCGCGTCCATGAAGCCCTCACAATCCGCCTCAGCGTAAGTCACTCCGTCAGCAGGATGCTGAAGTATTTTTCAAAAGCAACTTTGGGCCAAGCCCATGTTTGTGTTCTAAACGCAGTCCGGTTGTACTTTCACAGCGGCAACACCATCTGTGCCGATCGTTTTCAGATCTTCCTTAGAACTATGGACAGCATTTGTTTCTCCTTTGCTTTTCACATATTAGAACTGGCATGTTTTTGAAGTTCATTCTCCACTTTTATGAGTCATTTATTCTCACTTCTTTTCACTTGCGTTTGTCCGTGTATCTGTCTCACTGTGCATTCAATGCAGGTCACCCCTTGTCTGGCCACCAAAGAAACGGCAAAATGGCCCTGTGATCTACAAGCATAGATCCCGGTAAAATGGCGTGTGATGCATGAAATTTGCAAAGACCCAGATTCTAACCTAAGCAGCGTCTGCTTTTGCTCTTTCTAAAACCACTCACATGCATTTCAATGATAAAAACCTCTGTCTTTCTCTTTTTGAAGTCAAAGCTGTTTTCCTAAAACCAAGCTGTAATCCATTTGTCTTTAATTCCACGAGATAATCTAGCATAGCATTTTTATCATTGCTATTTGTTGTTACAAGAATGAATGAAACCTTTGGATGTAGAACATGTACTCGATGTGGTGATTCCTTGTTTTAGATACTATTTGAATCAAATTTTCTTGACTGTGACTAGCAGAGAACTCTCACGTAGCACAGAGCCACTAGTAGGACCATTTAAGACATTTGTAGATCCTAGATAATTCCATCACGTGTATAGGAAGGAGGAACATAACACTATCATTTTGGTAAGAAACAAACAAAGCAAAAATGTAGTCCTCGCATTTTAAATGGAAGAGATATCAGTTAATATAAAACAAGTTCTTTCACCATATTTCCTGCAAAACTGCCCACAAGACAACAATAACAAAATAATAAAGAAATAATGTATATGACTTTTAGGTAGCCCTCGACTAGCCTGCTTGCATGGGTTGAAACCTGTGATTTAGCTTCATTAGTCCGATCTCCTAAATCAGCTGAGCCTACCAGGAGGGTTGTATAACCCTCCTCCATGAGTTAAATATCCAAAACTAATCTCTCTGATTTATTTTCTACAATATCTATATTGGATTTTCATGGTAACTTGAAGACATTGTTGTGGCAAATAATGTTATTCTTTGGCGGTTTACAAAAAAAAAAAGAAAAATAAATCAATGTTTTAAGAATATCATAACTGCTTTAAAAAAAGAATGTTTCATAAGCTGCAAATAGAGATTTAAGTCCCTTGAACAATGGTAGAATGAAATGGTGTCATACTATGACTCCACAGCCCCATGAATATGAGCAACAAGGGAATTTTGAAGATTACTTGGTATTCAGTAATAATGGATTGTTTTTAAAGTTCAGAAAATAGGAAGAAAGGATTAAAGGAAAAAGACAGCTACTGTTTTCAGTTTTGAACCTGTGAATGTGTTGCCGTTTGTAAAACTCTTTCTCCTTCTCTTTAGGTATTGCTGGTAGCAAATAACTTCTGTAGCTGCTGGATAATATTGCAGCTCAGCCTTAAAAGAAGCACTGCTTTTCCGAATCCTCCGGCTTTCCCCTACCGCTGATTTTGTGTTTGTTTCCTTCTTTAGGATCTGTGAATGCACCGAGGCTGAGGCAGAGATAATTCTGCAGCTGAAGAGCGAACTCAGAGAAAAGGAATTAAAATTAACAGATATCCGACTGGAGGCCCTCAGCTCTGCTCATCACCTTGACCAGATCCGGGAAGCCATGAACCGGATGCAGGTCAGTGCTGAAACACCTTCAAGGAACAGAGGAGAGATTGAAAATATTGTTTATTTTCCACTCTTGGTTATTATAAAAACAAATCTCACTTTTAAACCCACTGTGGAAACACAGTCTGTTTATTCAGTCTTTGCACCTCATTTCTTAATACTGAATGGAGCATTTTGTCAAATCCAAGACTGGAATGAGGAGCACAGACTGGCCAGTTGCACTCAAGGGCCATTCAAGACACGTGTACTAGTGACTGGATTCACTTGAGGGCCGGGTTTTTTTTTTAAATTTTTTTTTTTCAACGTTTATTTATTTTTGGGACAGAGAGAGACAGAGCATGAACGGGGGAGGGGCAGAGAGAGAGGGAGACACAGAATCGGAAACAGGCTCCAGGCTCCGAGCCATCAGCCCAGAGCCTGATGCGGGGCTCGAACTCACAGACCGCGAGATCGTGACCTGGCTGAAGTCGGACGCTTAACCGACTGCGCCACCCAGGCGCCCCGAGGGCCGGGTTTTTAAAGGAACTACTACAACCCTTGTGTCTACACTTTTCCACGATTTGCCTTTGTGTTGTTTTTTTTCCGTTCTTTTGACATCTGACTTTCAATTACTTTTACCTGTTTTCTATTGGGAAAAAAACGTAATGAGGAAACTACAGAAATTTAACACAAGCCTTCTAAATCTGCAAAGTAACAGTGGTGTGGAAGGCCATCTGTAAAAGTAAAGCTTTTGTATTTTGGGGAAGCATCTGAAGGCTAATTTCAGAACCAGGCTGGGCTCAGACTAAGTTTTCATTTTATTATTGTAAACCAGTCATCACTCCGTACCACAGTTGACTGAAATAAGAAAAACTCACTGCTGAGCAGATTTATCTGCTACCATATGTATTCATCAAAAGGTTTTTGTTGTTTTTATGAGCTTAGTGCTCCATTTTGAAGGAACAACAACTTTTCAGATGTTGGATGGAATTCTGCAGTAATGTTAAGTCACCTTATTGATACTGTTTCTGTTTTGCTCGGGTTGTCGACTCTACGTGAGTTCAGACTATTACAAATGACGTTATTTACCTGTGAGATTTAACAATGCATTTAAAATGAGAAATTTTGCAAACTCTTCAAATATATGACTCTTAATTCAAATGGGACCAAGTCCTAGAAGACCCCTCAAATATATGATACATTCAAAAAATACTTATATAAATTCTAAGGGTTAGTGTGTCTATATTCGTGAATACATGAATCTATGTATGTATGTAAGAAACAGAGACTAGGTTAATAATTTACCTTCTTTGGAAGAAAATCCTGTTTTAATAATCTATATTTGTTTACTTAACATATCACCACATGCTTTATTTAATAAACAAAATAATTACCTCTGATGAAAGAGTTGGTGCCATTTTCTCACACAAACTGGCCGGATTTTGTTTTCCTGTATTTTCCGTCTTCACAACAGAATGAAATTGAAATACTGAAGGCCGAAAATGACCGCCTGAAGGCAGAAACTGGTCACGCAGCTAAGCCTGCTCGTCCTCCGTCAGAGTCCTCAAGTAGTTCGTCCTCCTCATCTTCACGCCAGTCACTAGGACTTTCTCTGAACAACCTGAATATCACAGAATCTGTTACCTCAGGTAATTTTGTGCACACACCTGCCTGAATGAAATCATGCCTATGATTTCATGAGGGGAGAGGGGGCTGGCATTGGAGAATCGTGCCCACCGCTGTTCTTAAACTCACTCTCCTAAACATGTTAGCACTCTGAATTCTCAGAAATAGTCCTATTCTTCTCCTAAAAATGTATTCTACTCTGTTATATTTTTAAAAGAATATGCTCTGTGAAAGAGTGACAGACGTAAGACATAATGGTTTCCATATCATTTTAAAAAATTGTGCTTGAGAAATACTTCCTTGGTGATTACAAACACAATAAAGAAATGATATTCTCAGTGGTGATCGTTAGTATTTATGAATATAATGCTAATAATCCCACACAGTCGTACAGTATTTTAAGTGTACAAAGCCCATTTACGAGTGCATCAGGACCTATTCCTAAATTTGACCAGATGATTGTGCATGACGTTACCTGGAGAGAACATAATGCTAGTACATCACAGTTCTATTAAATTTTCAACAAATGTAAAGAATTCACTGGATTCTGTTATTGTGTGCAGCGGTACTAATGATGGAACCAGGGTACAGTTTTACTTCATCGCAAATAGAATCATATGACATAATGTTGTCTTCGTATCTGATGAACTATCAGTTATAAAGTATATAGCAGTGAATCATTTTATGTACATAAGATTTAGTTTAGGAAAGAGTTACATGAAGATCTGTGGTAATTGCAAAGCATAGCCACCAGATGACGCTTGGAAACCAATGATATGCATGTTCCTGGGTAACTTTGGATTCCATTATACAACTATATAGTTCTTCCCGGCTTGCCTTAAATTACACTAAAATAGAGATGAAGAAGAGAAACAGAGATACAGCATGCTGATATTGATGAAAATTTGTAATAAGTCATACCTCTTCTAAAAAGTCAGAATGTTAACAATTCTGTTACATCTGCTGTTCATAATGTAAAATGAAGGGCTTAAATATATAACTTGCTTTCTTCTTAGAAGAGGCAAGTGGCAACTAAAAGACAAGTAGGAACTCCCTGAAATTCAGGAAAACACTGTATATAACATTTGGCAGGTATTGGGGGAGGGAAATGAATTCTGAGACTAAGCATCAAGTAAAACCAATGTTAGTAGCCAAGAAGAAACAGAGAGAGGTCATAATTAAACGAACTTAAAAATCATTCAGCAGAATCAAACTATGGGACTATGGTCGTAACTTGAATGTGTAAATTGTCTGTAAGGTGTCATCATCCACACTCTTCAAAAGATGTCAACAAAGAAAAAAAAAAAAACAAAACTTTAAATGTATAGATTCTGGTGGCCCTGAGCAAAATCCTATATGTTGTCCGTGATGAGCCTAACAGAGAAGTGAAAGTAGGGTCCACAGCCAAAGGCAGTCAGTGTCTGTGTCCTCGCTGGACTCCTTAAGGAAAGACGAGCAAGGGCTGGTACCTTAATGGCAGGATTTCACTGCTTGTTATGTGATACTGTTTTATCTCATGGAAATACAGTAAAGTTTAAAGGAGGCACAGTTAGTACTAAAGATAGTTTAGAAACAGAAGCCATGTAAAAATGAAACTAAAAATTCATGTCTAGGAAAAACTAAAACTCATAAAGATAAATATAAAATATAATAAATCAAATTTATAATCTCTGTATTCATCAGCCTGAAAATACTGATGTCCGTGAATCAGAATTTGGGGCAAATGTTTTGAGGGGGTTTCAAAGATGTACTTTTTAAGTATACATTTTATCTTTAGTTCTATATTATTTTATTTCTTTAATCATTTTTCATTAGTGATAATTGTATCTGAATTAAAAAAAAAACATTAAATCACATGACTAGGATACTGTTTTCATTGTCCTCACTCTTGTTTAGTGGATTCAGAATTGGAAATCAAAAATGCCTTTATGCTGTGGCTTTTTAACAAAAAAAAAAAATTTCTAGGCTTCATGATTAATTTTTTTTTAAAAAGGAGAGAAGTAGGCAGGAGAGTGGATAATTGACAAACTTTCATTTCCTGAAATATAACTACACATTCCATACATCTAGTAAAGACATAAATTTGAAAAGACTTCATTTTTTTTTGTCATAACTTCATTGAATTGTAACCAAAATGGCAGATCTTTTTATTCTTCCTTAAAATATTGACAGAGAACCATAACTTATTTTCCATTAAGGAAACCCCACAGAGAACCCTTACCTCAAATTTGCTGGTTTTCATTTTTTTCTTGGAGTTGTTTCTTCAGGTGATCATCCTGTTGATATGGTGAGGACAGGAGGGGACACGGAGTGAGTCAGGATGTACTCCTCCCACTGTGCGGAGAAGGGATTACAGTAAACACCTGCACAAAGTGAATAGTGGTTACAACAGCTGGCGATATTAAACACTGGGGAAAAAGTGTTGTGAAAGCATTATCTCTTATGGTCTCAGTAACCCTATGAAGTAAGGGCTGTTTGAGCCCCATTTTACAGATGAGGAAACCAACACTTAGGAAAGAAACTATAATGATTTGTTTGAGATCATGCAACTAGTAAGATGTAGAGTTAATATTTGAACCCAGGTCTGGATGAATCCAGCATCTGATCTTTTAACTCCCATACTCTTTTCCTTTAAGTAGCCGTATGAGAAGCCAAGGACAGTCATTCATTCATTTACTGGTAGACATGTACGTCACTGCCTTCAGGAAGAATTTCACAGTCTGGCAGTTTTTAAGAGTGAGCATAAAGTGAAATGAGAAACATGCTCCAAGACAAACTTGGGCAGAGAAGTAGATCAGAAATCAGATTAAATACCTTGATGTGGAGTACTAGGCCACTCATGATCTGGCCCTTAGCTGCCTCCACATCATTCCATACTAGTCCCCCCAACCCCTTGATCTCCACCCTCCTACCACCCAAACCCTTGAACACACATAGCTCTTTCATCAAGGGTTTTGCATTTGTTCTTGTTTTCTGGACCTCTTTTCCTTGGTCTTTACTTGCGTAGCACTTCTCAGCCACCTGGTCTTATCTCCAAATACGACCTCCCCATGGAAGCCTTCTAGGATGCCCTATCTGTGTAGAGCAGCCTCCCTTCAGTTACTCTATTTCACTGCCTCATGCCTTTATTTCTGGCACTTAACACATGCCAAAAGAGCAAGAAATTCATTTTCCTTCTTACCTTTTCACCTGAATGGGTATTCCTTCCCAATACCCAGCACAGTTCCTGGTATCTTTTAGGCTTAAGAAGTATTTTTGAATATTTATGAACATTTAGAACTAATTGAGCAAAGTACTAAAGAGATAGATAATTTGGTCATGGGATACCAGAAATTTACATGCATGCAGCCAACATAAGCCACTCTAAACTTCTAAGAAAAAGAGCAAGAAGATTAAATGACACTTAAAAAAGGGTTTTATTTTTGACTGAGATAAGCAAAAAAGTAAGAGATTGTGAGGATGTTGATCTGGCAAAAGAATTGAATTTCCAGTAGGGAGATTGTCTTTGATATTTTAAAAATTTTTGGCAAAAATATCCATTTTACTCAAAATCTGTGGATGTTTTTATTGTTATGATCTTAAGGCATTTTTTTACTCTTTCCTTTGTGAAATGACATATTCTTAATTATTAAGATAATAGAACCATTCTATTTTCAAAAACTATTTGATTAAATTATTGTTTCTCTGCGAGTACATTCACATCCCTTTTCTCTATAAATTTAGTCACAGTAATTGACTCCCCTTGTCACCAGGCTCATGTGCTCTTTAGCACGTAACTGAGTTCCTTTTTGCACAAAGCACTATCTTCATATTAAACATGGCTCTATAATAACATTATCCTCAAAGCCATATTAAATGTGGCTCTATAGTAACATATATGTGGGATAGTTGACATTAATAATTATCCAAATTGGATGTTAATCTCATATGGTATAGTTTGAAAATTAATCTTCAATTATATTTAAAGGCTGGTGCTTGCAGGTTAGCTAGCTTTATCAGGCTTCTGTAAGTCTTAGCTGATTACTAGAAATACTGTTTTGGTTTTAAAACCATAAGCATAAAGGGTACAGGAGAGTGATAATTAATATACTTCTATAGGGAAGTATAATGCTGTGGTTGAAATTCAGTAACAGTACCTAATAATTATAGATATAAGGTAAGCAGTAACATAGCTGGATATATGCCAAATGCTTAGCACTAATTTTAGTTGACACCCAATCTCAGCACCTTAGCTTTCATAAATTACATGGGTATTGAGCTTGGATATTTTAGGTTGGATAGAAAAACCAAATGGCTTTTCAGTGTGTCACAGTTGCAATGATGGTAACTGAATATTACCCAGGTATTACTCAGACGTGTGTGCAATAGGAAAAGAAACCCTTCATTTCCCCATCTGAGGGCAATGGCCCAGCATGTGAGTGAAGATCTTTGGAAGCAGAAATAAATTCTTAGACTGAACCTTCAGCCCAACCACGGTAATTCATCTTCTTGAAAGCTGAGATTTTTCAAACCAGTTAGGCTAGAATGGGAAGCAAAAAGGCCATATATTCCTACTGATAGATAGAAAACTGTGAGGGAGAAAACAATGATAGTAAACAATTCCAAGCTAATATGACTCTATTGTGTGTGTGTGTGTGTGTGTGTGTGTGTGTGTGCGCACACGCACACGTGTTTACTTACTTCTTTGAAAATTTGGTAGATATTTTGCTCGACGATGCTGGTGATACAACTGGACACAAAGATGGCCGCAGTGTGAAAATTATAGTTTCCATAAGCAAGGGCTACGGCCGAGCAAAGGTATGTTTTTAATCTTAAATTCTAAATATTCCTAAAGGATGAACATGACCGTGAATCAAATGTATCTTATATTGGATATTTGTCCTGGTAAATATGCTATCAGCAGTGTGTATCTTGTCATTCACTTAATATGTCATAAAAGCATGAAAGTTAGGGACTCAAAAGAAATTACATCATTATATAGGGAGAAATATGTCTCAATATCTCATGTTCATTCACTGATGACAATAGTGATTGTCAACCACTCTCATTTCTATCGCTTCAGAAAAGAATCATTATTTTCTTTGACATAAACATCTTGTCTAACATTCTTTTGGTGTCATCTGTAAAATACAGGGGATATTTATGATGTGTAGTAACACGTTGCCAGGGTTGTCAATATAGTTTTTGTACAAAGAAGAGACTATATGCTAGATGAATATTCTAGACACTAGAAAGATGTATTTAATGAACTTAGTATGAAAATTCTATTGATGCTACCTATGTGTCATTTATAAGCAAAGTCTTAGAAGATAAGGCAAATATTTTAATTTTTCTGGAATCAATTATTGCTATCAAATTGACAGTGTCCTTGTGACTCAAGTCTTTTTTGAAAACTATAAATATTATTTCAAGTTGAGTTTGTAGTCGAGTGGCCAAGAATACAAATCTGCAAGTATCTGAATTTGTTCCCATCAAACAGAAAAACAGAAAAGTCCTTTGGAATTTTAAAATAGTTGAAATATTGAAGTTTAAAAAGTAAGATAGCACTTGTGAATTTTTACACTGAGAAAATATTCCAAGAAGTCCAATGCCATAAACTTTCTTCTTGAGCTGTAGATTTTTGCTTGATTTTCCCAAGTGGGTCTTCATGTGAAAGATTCTAATAGTCTCAGTGAAGCTTAAGCTATCTCTAATTTGAAAGCAGCTACTTACAAAGCATTGTATGAACACATTTGTTTTGACTGGGTTATAATACTACTAGAAAGCAAGTTTTCCATTTTAACATAATTCTAAAAGGCAATGTTTTTGAACATTGAAAGGAATTGTTTTAGTCTTCTTGGGCTGCCATAACAAAATACCATAGACTGGCTGTATTACATATAAAAAATTTATTTTCACACCATGGTAAAGTCCAAGACCAAGGGGCTAGCTAATTTGGTTTCTAGTGAGGACTCTTTCATTGCGTTGCAGATAGCCATCTCTCAATATGTCTTCACATGTCTTTTCCTCAGTGTGTGTACTTGGGGAGAGGGAAAGTTGGGTGTCTCCCTCTCCCCACCCCCCGCCACTTATGAGGTCACTAATGCCATCATGAGAGCGCCATTCTACTGACTTAACCTGATTACCTCCTAATGGCTTCATTTCCAAATATCACACAGGATTGTGTCTTTAACATGTGGATTTGGGAAAGACACAAACACTCAGTCCATAAGAGTAGTAAAAAAAAAAAAAAAAAAATCACAATGGTTTGTTGTGAATTTCTTAACCTTTTCTGAAAAAGGTATTGACTTCTAACTTGGATTATATCTAAATAGTGGTAATAATCATTTACCCTTATAGAGGCAAATGTTATAGATGAAGAAATCAAGGCTTCTTGATGAGATGGCTAGGTGACTTACCTAAAGTCACATTTCTTAAGTGAGGTGGTAGATATTGTGCATTGTAGAATCCTTATCTTCTAATATCTGATTCAGTTGTTATTCTACCACCTCTTGAGGATAATACAGTTAGTGACTAGAACCAAGATTGTAACATAGCAACTAGCTAATTATATCTACTGGAGTCATGATCACTATTTTATGTAACCATTTCCAGTCATCATAAAAGAGGCCCCACTCAGACTATAAATCTCGAATTGTTTATTTGTCCAATATATGTAAAAAGTCCTCAAAATCCCATCCCACAAAAAAAGATAATAGGGGCACCTGGGTGGCTCAGTCAATTGAGTGTCCAACTTAGGCTCAGGTCACGATCTCACCGTCTGTGAGTTTGAGCCCCTCATCGGGCTCTGTGCTGACAGCTCACAGCCTGGAGCCTGCTTTGGATTCTGTGTCTCCCTTTCTCTCTGCCCCTCCCCTGCTCGTGTTCTGTCTCTCTCTCTATCAAAAATAAATACACATTAAAAATTTTTTTTCAAAAGAAGATACTAAATTTGGGACCATTCTTTGCTCGATAAAATGGCTCCTGTAGGATTCCCTGACATGTTCTTGTAGTAAATTTTTTGATAAATTCAAAGTGGAAACTGTTTTTGTAAATATGTGAAGGCCATGCTACTGTGGATAACTTAGTTTTAAAAGCTGGATTTGATATCATCTAAATCAATACATGAAAACAACCTGAATTTTAGACTTAACAAAGATCAGGCCACAAAATTAGTAGGAGGAAGTTGTAGGTCTCATATGAAATAGTTCTCTTGCCTCTCGATCACCATTTCCCTTCTACCAAGCTGCATCTACTCAAGAAGGCACCCGCTGCATTAAAGCAAAAGACTATTTTCCCTATTACCAAACAGGTCATGAATTAGTTTTCCATACCACTTCATCTCATCTCTTTCTTTCTTGTTTTTGTTATTATTGATGTTACCTTGTTTGTTTGTTTAGTTAGTTTGTTGGGGTGTGTTTTATTTTATATAATATACCATGCAGGTCTGTTACAATAAGACCTATAGGCTTAATAAACATTTTAGTCCTTAGTAGTAGTACATTAATATGTTTTAGTAGGAAATGTAGTAATAAGACATATGACTGGGTTTTATTGGGTTCTCTTTGTTCTTATTTAGGATCAGAAGTCTCAGGCCTATTTGATAGGATCCATTGGTGTTAGTGGAAAAACCAAGTGGGATGTCTTAGATGGTGTAATCAGACGTCTCTTTAAGGTAAGTTGTACAAAATTTCCTGATACTAAGTTTCACATATGTTTTATTTTACATGCTTTCCTTAGCTTTAATAACGTGGACTTTGCTTTTCCTACCTCCCTTTCAAATAGTAAGGAAAGCTTTCTCGTTGTGCTGTGTGATATTAATAATTCTTTTATTGCCCATTTCAAAAATCTTGACAGCTAGTTTCATATCCCCAGGAGTTTTGTATTTGTAGTAGATGAGTTGAATCTCTGTTTTGACTTCCTTTTTTGTGTGTATCATTTTAGGAATATGTGTTCCGAATTGATACATCCACTAGCCTTGGTCTGAGCTCGGACTGCATTGCTAGCTACTGTATAGGAGATTTAATTAGATCCCATAGCCTAGAAGTGCCTGAACTGCTGCCTTGTGGATATCTTGTTGGAGATAATAACGTCATTACTGTGAACCTGAAAGGTAAAAAGAAAAATGAAAAGAAAAACACAACTGTATCTTTTAGCCAACATTTCTTTCTCCTTCCTTCCTTCCTTTCTTTCTTTCTTTCTTTCTTTCTTTCTTTCTTTCTTTCTTTCTTTCTTTCTTTCTTTCTTTCTTCCTCTTTGTTTGCAATTTCACTTCAAGTTTTCGTTACTTGAAAGCTCTCTTAACCACATCAATGGTTTTAATATGAAACAAGACATACTTATTTTTAAAACACTAAAATCTTACTAAAACACTAAAACCCTACTAAAAACACCAAAATTGAAGTAAATGAAATTCTTTGAGTTCTGGGATGTGAAATTTTGAAGATTCTCTAAGACTCAAGAAGAGGAATGTGGTGAGGGAATTTCAAATTTCTAGGTTTTCTCCAGTACCATCTTTCATTTAGGGAGGATTCAAATAATTCATTGCATATCCCAAAGTAATATATTCATCACTGTATCTTTGATTTTAAAATATGTGTGTGTACCCAATAAATACCCACTGGGGATAGAGAATAGATGTTAAGAATCGGGGATGAGAAATTCTGTTTGCTTTGGATGATGTGATTAATTATAGGCAAATGGAATATCTAAAGTATACTTGTCTCCATAATTCCTTGCTCATATATGTTAAAGAGCCAGAGCACATCTACATAAACTGGATTAATAGAGGAATTTGCCAATATTTGATTTTGTGATTAAGGTGCTTAGGTTAGTAAAAGGAGATACTGTTGCTCTGCTTCTTAATTCCTTGCCAAATATCACAGTTTCTATTCTTCAAAAGCTTAAGTGGTTGTACAGCTAGGATTTGTAATGAGAGATAGGAGAAAACAAAGAGAAGGGAAAAATAGAAAGAAAAGGGAAGAATGTACACATATGCTTTAATATTTACATTTATTCTTAACAAAACTATCACCTTCAAAGGCAAGGAAAATATTATGATAGAAATTATAGTAATTCTTCCATTTCTGTCTGGAAACCTACTTGGGAAACATGAAGTAGACAATAGAGCTAAGCCTGAACCAAAGGAAACAGCTAACTTTCTTTGGGATGTTCACTCTGCCTTATTACTGATGTGTTTGTTTGTTTGTTTATGGGGGGGGGGCTAAAACGGCAGCACACGGTTGTGAGATAGAAATATCAAGGAAAGAATTTTACAAGGCCTGCATCCCTGAAACTAATAACTCTGTTGTCAGCACTGTATTTTAAATCCCAGCTTATGTAGAACAATAAGGCATGCTATTCCCTTTGTTTCTTCCTTCAGGGGTAGAAGAAAACAGTTTGGACAGTTTTGTTTTTGATACACTGATTCCTAAACCAATTACCCAAAGGTACTTTAACTTGTTGATGGAGCATCACAGAATTATACTCTCGGGACCTAGTGGTACTGGAAAGACCTATTTAGCAAACAAACTTGCTGAATATGTAATAACCAAATCTGGAAGGAAAAAAACAGAGGATGCAATTGCCATTTTTAATGTGGACCACAAGTCAAGTAAGGTAAGTCACAAACTCCTAAGAGAACTGTCATTGTTTACTTATGGATTTAAGTGTCTTAAGCAATTAAGCTATAAGATTGTGTGAGACCCATTACCCAATTTGAACATGGAGACATATCTATCTCTGACTAAAACTGAAATCTGATGGATGACGTCACCCTGTTTCATGAATTTGAGCAAGACTGATACTCAGTAGCATTCACTTATCAGGCAACTTCACAAGCATTGGGAATATACAGAAGAAAATGATGGTCTCTATTGTCCGATTTCTCTTAGACATCCATTTAAGAGGTGTTGGAGTAGAAAGAGATCCATGCAGAGTTCTATAGAAGCAAGAGGGAAGAATAACTCTTCTGTAAGAATTAGAGCTTTATAAAAAGTTAACTTGACCTGTATCTTAACAAATAGGTGGGAATAAACTGGGGTATTATAACAAAGGGGATATGGGTATGATTAGAATAGTCTAAGCAGAAATTCTGGGAACAGCAATTTGCTTACATTATATTTCTATTAGAATTTCTGCTTAGGAACCTTAGGAAATTGAACGATATTTCATGTTGCCATCAACTAAGTTCTAATGTACCATAATAATCAGCTTGAACACTCTCAGCTATTAAATAGGCATGAGGAAGCTATAAAACCTAGCCAGTAATTTCATATATTATGAATAGAATAAGGAATTCTAAACAGAAAATTGTTAATGTTTAACATATTCCTGACATTATAATATTTTTGCCTGTAATAATTAATTACTTCCTCAATCAATTTAACCTAAGCATCTCTTAGGAAACTGTATCTGTTATAAGCAATAACTTGATGGAATCCACATGATATTGGGTCATGTTATTTTTCCAAAGATAACCTGGTTAGATGATCCAAACTGACCCAGTCTCTCAGAAGCTTCAGCCCTACAATTTTTCAGAAATAAACACACGAAAGCAACCCAAACCCACTGGATTCTTGAAATAAACCAGACGTATAGCTTAGTAAACAAAACATTCTTAATGGTATGAATAGCTATATACTAACAAACTGGACAACCTAAGAGAAATGGAAAAGCTTTTAGAAACATACAACTTGCTACAACTGAACCAGGAAGAAATGGCAAATCTGAATAGACCAATTACTAGTAAAGGGATTGAAGCAATCATCAAAAATCTCCCAAAGAAGAAAAGCTTAGGACCACATGACTTCACATGTGAATTTTATCAATCATTTAAAGAACACCAATACAAACTCTGCTGAAAATCTGAAGATGAGGGAACATTCCAGAACTCATTCTATGAGGCCAGCATTATCCTGACACCACTAGGAAAGAAAACTACAGGCAATATCCCTGATGAATATAAACGTAAAAATTCTCAATAAAAATACTGGCAAATCAGGGGCGCCTGGGTGGCTCATTCAGCTGAGCGTCCAGCTCTTGGTTTCAGCTCAGGTCATGATCTCACAATTTATGAGTTCGAGCCTCCTGTCGGGCTCTGCACTGATAGTGCAGAGCCTGCTTGGAATTACCTTTCTCTCCCTCTCTCTCTGCCTCTCCCCTTTTTTCTCTCTCTCACAAAATAAATAAATAAACTTAAAAAAATACTAGCAAATCAAATTCAGTAGCACCTTAAAAGGATTATTCACCATGATCCAATGGGATTTACACCTAGGATACAAAGATAGTTCAGCATATAGAAATTAATTAATGTGATGTGTCACATTCATAGAATGAAAGACAACAGATCATATGATCATCTCAATAGATGCAAAGAAAGCATATGACAAAGTGCAACATCCACTTATGATAAAAACTTTTAACAAATTAGGCATCAAAGAAAAACATCTTAACATAATAAAGGCCATACAGACAAGCCAATGGTTAACCTCATACTCAGTGGTAAAATTTGAAAGCTTTTCCTTTAAGATCAAGACCAAGACAAAGATGCCCACCCTCATCACTTCTATTTCACATAGTATGAGATATCCTAGCTAGAACAATTAGGCAAAAAAAGAAGGGGAAGAATAAAAGGTGTCAGAATTGGAAAAGAAGAAGTAAAATCATCTCTATGTGCAGGTGACATTTTATATATAGAAAATCCTAAAGACACACAAAAAAAACTGTTAGATCTAATCAATGAATTTAGTGGTTGCAAGATATAAAATTAACACACAGAAATCAGTTATGTTTCTATATGCTAACAATGGATTTTCAGAAAAAGAAAGAAAGAAGTTGATCTCATTTATATTAGCATCAAAAACAATAAAATACTTAGAAATAACTTTAAGGAGAGAAAATATCTCTGCTCTGAGAACTACAATGCATTGATGAAAGAAATTGAAGAAGACACAAATAAATGGATAGGTATCTCATGTTCATGGATTAGAAGAATTAGTATTATTAAGGTATCAATAGTAGCATAAGCCATTACAGATTCAATGTAATCTCTATCAAGATTCGAATGCATTTTTTATAGAAGTCAAAAAAAAAAAAAAAACCCACTCATAAAATGTATATGGAACCACAAAAGACTCTGAATAGCCAAAGAAATCCTGAGAAAGAAAAACAAAGCAGGAGCCATCACACTTCCTAATTTCATCTCTACTCTATAGTCATTAAAACAGTATGGAACTGGCACAGCAACAGACATGTAGAATTGACAGACACAATGAAACAGAATCAAAAGCCTGAAAATAAATCCAAGCATATACCATTATCTAATGCTGGATAAGGGAACCAAGAATACTCAATGGAGAAAAGACAGTTTCTGCAGTAAATGGTGCTGGGATAATTAGATATTCACATGCAAAAGAATGAAACTGGGCACATATTTACATTACTCACAAAATTAACTTGCAGTGCATTAAAGATATAAAAGTAAGACCTGAAACCATGAAACCCCTGGAAGAAAACATAGAAATAAAGCTCCTTAACATGGATCTTGATAATGATTTTTTGGTTAAGACACCTAAAGTACAAGCAACAAAATAAAAAAATAAACAAGTAGCATTGTATCAAGCTCAAAACGTCTGTACAGCAAAAGAAACAAAGTGAAAAGGCAACCTATAGAATGGGAGAAAATGTTTACAAACCATCTATATCTGATAAGGGCTTAATATCCAAGATATGGAAAAAACTTATACAACTCAATAGCAACAAAACATTTGACCCAGTTAAAAAGAGGACAAGGGACCTGAATGGATATTCTCCATAAAAGATATACAAAAGGCCAACAGGTACATGAAAAGATGCCCAATATCACTAACCGCTAGGGAAATGAAAATTAAAACCACAAAAAGGTATCACCTCATGCCTGTTAGAATGGACATCATCAGAAAGACAAGACGTGATAAATACTAGTGTGGAAGTAGAGAAAAAGAAACCCTTGTACACTCCTGGTGGGATTGTTAATTGGTATACTCACTATGGAAAATAGTACAGAGGATCCTCAAAAAGTTAAAAATACTGCCATATGATCCAGCAGCTCCACTTCTGGGAATATATGCAAAGGAAATGAAAACACCAACTCAGAAACGTATCTGCACCTTCCCATGTCCATAGCAGCATTATTTACAATAGCCAAGACATGAAAACAACTCAAGTGTCCATGGAAGGATAGATGGATTTAAAAAATGGTATATTTGATGGAATTCTAATAATATAATGGAATATTATTCATCCATAAAAAAATGAAGAAATCCTACCATTTGCTACAACATAGATGGACCCTGAAGTCACTATGCTAAGTGAAATAAGTCAGAGAAAGACAAATATGTATGATCTCACTTATATGTGGAATCTCAAAACAAAACAAAAAAAATTACCTGAGGTAGAGTATGGAGAGATGGAAATTGTAGGAAAATGGTTAAAAGGTACAAACTTCCACTTACAGGGTAAATAAATACTAGTGTTGTTATATACAACATGATGACCACGGCTAACCCTGCTGTATGATATATATGAGAGTTGTTAAGGGAGTAAATTCTAAGAATTCTCATCACAAGAAAAATTTTGTTCTTTTTTTCTTTTCTTTTTATCAGATCTATCTGAGAAGGTGGATGTTAGCTGAACCTGTTGTAATCATTTTACAATATGTATAAACCAAAACATCATGCTATTCATCTTAAACTTATACAGTGATGTCTGTTAATTCTTTCTCAACAAAAATGTTCTTAACGAAGTAGTTTTTTAAGTCCCTATCACTGACCACCTGTGGAATATACAGCAGATTGTTGAATTTCCTTTGCCATGGTTTTCCCAACTGTAATATGGTCATGGCAAAAGCTAAGTGTCTGTGTGTCTGTGTGTGTGAGAGAAAAAGGGAGAGAGAGAGTGGAGGGAAGGGAGACAGAGGGGGTAAGGGAGAAAAGGATCGAGAGAGCAGGGGAGGGACAAAAGGAAGAAGAGAGAGAGAAATAACAGTACAGGTAGCAAACACAATCAGTATAAGGGTCGCCTGCAGTTATTAATTATATAATTAATGTAAATAGCTTTCAATAAATATTTCTTTCACAAGTACAGACCCATACAGACACCAGCCCCCAGATACACACATAGACCTTTGTTGAAAATTATCTTGTATGTACTTTTCACAGAGAACAGTGATGTACATAAAACATGCTGGGATCTCTTAAAGTTAAATAAACGTTATAGCACATGAATTCTGAATAATTCCTTGGAACTCAGCACCATTCGAATTGTGGTTGAACCACCCATTTTCATTTCAACCAAGGAGAGGCATGTAATCTGCGGCAGAATATTTGGCCCTTCTCTCAGCAGAAGTAGGAAGAGCTCAGTTGTTTGTTTGCTCCAGTCTACGTTTTTTTTTTTTTTTAAATTTTTTTTTTCAACGTTTATTTATTTTTTTGGGACAGAGAGAGACAGAGCATGAACGGGGGAGGGGCAGAGAGAGAGGGAGACACAGAATCGGAAACAGGCTCCAGGCTCTGAGCCATCAGCCCAGAGCCTGACGCGGGGCTCGAACTCACGGACCGTGAGATCATGACCTGGCTGAA